TCCTGTCCTCCAAAGTGCATGCAACTCCTTCCAGCTTGATATCATCTCTACATTGTATAAATATATTCTTTATTGCTTCAGCCAAGTCATTACAATTCCAAGTAGCATCAGATCCACAGCATATCCCTGGGGAACCACTTGATACACCCTTCCTGTATTTCTGACTAACTATGGCTGTGTAGAGAAATCCCATGTGTAGAACTATAGAGCCAGAGCAACAGCCTGTACCAGGGGTGAGACCTTAGTAGATGCTCTGAAAATAAGCTTGCATTACTCATTTGTGAAGGTCAACACCCCTTCAGTTCTGTTTGTGGTTTGCACATGCATCTGGAGTCACTAACTTCTTCAGAATTAGCTGTTGAGCTCAGGGACGAAGTTAAACTCAGCAGCTTGACTTTCTGTTCTTTCACTGTGCCCTGGGGGAGTGTAGGTTGGAAAAAAAATTATCATTGCAAGAGGAGGAGTTTTCTGTTATGTAAAGCTAGCTAATTTTTACTGCCCCATGGGCAATTAACACTATACAACTGGTCATCCCCGATGGTATTTAGACTTTTTTCTTTTTTAGATTATCTTAAATCATTGTTATATATGTTGTACCACTATTAACTGTATTATTTATAATTTATTAATGTGAACCACACATTTAAAACTCAAATCTGAATATTTTTCAGCTATCTTGGTTGTTCAATCCAGAAATGTTGACTCCTTCAAATCTATTATTTACAGTATTCATTCTAGTATATGTTTGTATGGTTGGTGTTGTATTAACTAAGGCCTGTTTTTTTTTTCTTGAAATAAATAACTGTCACTCAGTGTTGCAGAGATATCAGTGTTGCAGAGGAGCCAGGCTAAATTCCCCAGATAAAATACTGTTGTTCTTTACTTCCTTTTTAAGAATCAGTAATTTTATTTGTTCTGGGTCTGATTCAGAAAAGTACTTAAGCATGTTCTTATAGCTTTAGGTATAAGTTTTCCCACTGAAGTCATAATAATCTACTTTGTTAGACTGGGACTTGGATGAGGATTATCTATGAATTTTGGGGAATTATTAAATGAAACCCCAAACAAATGTGCCGCTGCTCATAGCCCCATACAGATTTTGGCTACTTGGATATACCTGTGACTATTTTGTGGTTTTAAATAAGAGGATCATTTTGTTAATGAGCATTTGCTCTTGTAAAAATTTTATTTTCCTTCCTGTAAAATAAAATTGAGTATATACTTTTAAAATGTGGTTTCTGTCCAGTGGCACTAATGGATAGGTGAATGTATAGCTTTATTTAGTGGTTGCAAATAGGACTGCAATCATGTAAAATATCTGATCATAGGCTCTATACTTACACTTGTTATAGGAAAGCTTTTCAGAAAATGTCAGATCTTTAAGCTATTACTGTTCAATAATTACATAGCAGGGTCTGCAAAGAATATATAGTTTTGTGACTATGTTAATAATAAACAAGGCCAGGTTTTTGGTGTTAAAGTCAGTGGATTTAGTTTCATACTAGCTGAATATTAGGCTAGGAGGGTTTTAGTTGAAAAGAGACATAATGATAAACCACAGAAGTAGCAGTGACAAGCAGATTTGCGCATAGGACTCCAGATCTCATCTTTGTTCCTTTAATTGAATTGTAGAGGCTTCCTTTCTGTTCCTACTCCTTGGTAACCAGTAAACACTTAATATAGTTAAATAAGAAGGAGCATTATTATTGATGACAATGAATTAACATTTTTAGAGGCAGATATTACCTGTTTTTCCTGGTTTAGCAGCTGTGCAACTCCAGGAATTTTATTTCACTCTTAACCCAAAGGCTTCTTTTCAGTAAGCTCCTCGCCATACCAGTGTGAGGGAAGAAGTGAATAGAAGATTGCTCTGTGTTTTGTTTTTCTGTTTTCTTGTATCAGAGATTTAGAGTTCTTTAGATTCTTTCTTTAGAAGTTTTCTGGTTCTTATGCCATAGGAATTATTGACAGATTCAGGGCTGCATTTTGTCACAATGAATAATGTCTCACTCTGCCAGTGGCCCATTGACGTGAATGGGATTACTTACAGAGTGAGGCAGTCTTCACTGTGAGTTAGGGTGGCAAACTCTGTCCCATAGTGTTTCTGAAGGGATTCAGCAATCAAAGTCAAGATTTTCTTTTCATCCTACCTAGTAAATTATTAAATTGCCAGACACATCTACTTTCTGGATAATACTGTAGATACTTTTATTCAATGCCTTTCGCTCTCAAAAGGAATTCTGGGGCTTAAGCTTTATTTGTGATTTCTGTTGAAATGAAAATAACTTTATAGGTTCTGTTTTGGCCTTTCTTACGATTCCTGACACTTACTTCTCTGACCTATTGTTTTTAATGTGACTTAAACAATTTTAAAGTGATTCACCATTTTAAAATTACATAGATTGTGTGACTAAAGACAAAATTCACACTGGTCCCTGATTTAGGCTTTGATATACCTGAAAGTGTCAGGAGGGTGATGCAAATAAACAGGTACTGTTTCCTTTACAGGAGATGGGGAGATACCGGCACTGTCAAAGAACCCAAATGTTGAACCAGGAAACTAATTAGAATTTTAGCTAATAGGAAACAAAGGGTGTACTCCTGCCCTTCTTTGGAGTAAAATGTTTGAATCAGAGCTATCCACTTGGGATTCAAAGTGAAAAGATCACTCTTGAGGGTGACACTCCCTCTGCCTGAAGATGGTTGTTTGTACCCAAAAGCTTGCAAAGAAGAATTTTTCCAACTATTTTAGTTGGTCTAAGAAAAGATATCAGATTTACCCAAATAACCTTGTCTGGTCTTGAGGGTAGACACTTACTTGGCAAAGCAATGGTGGTATGCCTTTTCCCCCTTTTGTACATCAGCCTGTTGATTAGAGCACTCATCTAGGAGGTTATGGATCTTCCTGACCCTAAGAGGATTCAAACTCACCATCCTCACTTCCTAGAGGAGTACTATTACCACCAGACTATGGAATAATCCAGTAAGTGTTAACGTATTCAGCAGAGGTGGAGTAGAGGGGAGTCTGGCGCTCTGGTCCTTGCTTCCAGGGTTATTTCTGAATTTTAGTCCAGCTCTCCTTGTCCGGGCAGGGTGCCCGAACTGCCACTGTATTCTAAGAATAGAACAGAAACCGGTTTTATCCTGGCTCTGATTGTCTTGGGCATCAAAACAGGTGCAAGGCAATCATCTACATGGACAGCTTGAATGGCAATTAAATAGAATTAGCCACAGTTGTCCCAGGGACTAGTGTCATCTCAGATACTTCACAGGGACAATAGCTTTGGAAATCTGTAGGATCTCAGGATAAAAGATGTTGTCAGGAGAGAAATCCAACGTCTGTTACTAGCCTAAGGCTCATTCTGGCTTGCTCTCCTTCTGGCCCCATGACTCTTAGCTACATAGTACCTCAGTGTCAGCTGGAGTGGAAGATGCCACAACACAGGTTATTTTATCACCTGGAGGATAAGGCATTTTTTTCTGAAGTGAGAGCTGTAGCTTTGAGTCTCCTCAGGCTTAAGATGGAGCTAAAACCCAGGTCTCCTGCTGTTTGGCCGGGTGCTCTAATCATTCAGTGGAAGCTCCTCCATTAACCATATTTTAAGAGAAAATGACCAAGGCTGCTTCATTTGATATCAAATGCAGTGATATCCTTGTTTTAGGCATTATGTGAACATATCTAATGCATCAGGCCCTTAAGGGCTACAGGGTGGCAACGGAGCTTAGGCAGGAGTTAGGCACCAAGGTGCTCTGATTGAGTTTCTGGACACATGCAGAAGTTCCCCAGCTAGGCACCTAGAGAAAAACATATACGGCTCCTATACATGTACACGGAGCTGAAAATCTAGTGTATTGGAGCAGACTTGATAAATCGAGTCTGCTGGAGCATGAAAATTGATGCACTCCAGCAGCCTTCCGCATCACATGTATCAGCATTACCACACGTCTCTGTGCTAAAAAAACAGCAGCAGTGCACTTTGAAATAAAACATGTTTGATGAGCTTTAGTTCAAAGCATCGTGCCACCATTTTTTCAGTGCAGGAACACGTGGTGATGCTGATACATGCGATGCACGGGCATATTTAATTAGCATGGCTCACTAATTAAAGTGTTCAGCACCGTTTCTCGCAACATATGTAAAAATACCTGTAGGTGCAAAGTTATTTTAGGTGTCCAAGTTGTTTTGTGACCAGTAGTGTAGGTGTGTTTGGTTTTTTCATGGTGGTTCTACATGAGTTCTATTCAGGTACCTGGTTTTCCAACATAGATGTGTCCCTAAATTCTTATCTTCTGTGTTGTCATCTAGCATGCAGAGTGCCCAAATTTTAAAGCAGTTCATTAGTTTTGGCAAATACTAAAACATACATAACATTACTTGCATTAATTTCTTTCAACATCTTAAGTAAGATTGCTTAACCAGGGAATTAAGATGCATTGATTTTGAACAGTAGGAATTCTTCGTATTTTTTTAATGTAATATAAAATGAATCTCTATGTCTTGTGGACATCTATTGATATTTTATGTGAAGCTAAACAACTCTTTAATGTTCCAAAAATACCTTTAAGAAGTTTGACATCCATTGTGACTGACAGTTCTCTTTGTTGGGTTTTTAGTTAGAAATCTAATTCAACAAATGAAGCTGGCAGCTTTTAACTCACTTGGCTTAATGTTACAGTATTAAATTGTATTAGGAGTGCAGATAAAAAACTGGTGTTTTATACTGTCGCAGTGCTTGACTGCATAAACTGAAATCTCATACTTACCTAGTACCTGTTAAAATGGTGAAAATGGTGAAAATTTGCCTTCACCTTAGCATAACTGACAAGTATCGGCCACAAGAAGAAATAGGAGAACCTATTTCCAGGTAGTGAGACTAAGAATATCTGCCTGATGATTCTGCTTGCACTATTTTTTCCACCAAGATCTTAAACCATTCCTTTAGTGATTTTCTTATAATATGTGTTTCTTTGATTTAAAAAGGGATATGTTTGCTTTGCAGTGCTACAGGCCTGTTTGCAATTGATTGCTGATAGCAAAAGTGGTATCCAACAAAAAGGTAAGAGTCAAGCTCAAAAATCCACCCAGGACTAAGAATATACCCAGGACCACTGTGGTTAAAGTGCACTAGTTTCTGTAGGCACAAGGAAGCACATCCTGGGTGAATGTGGGACAGCCTTTTCCATGAATCCAGAGCAAAGCTTGAACCCAGGCCTCCGCATCCATAGCAAGATGCCTTAACTAATCTGACACCATGCTCCATAAAAAAATATGAGTACATGCTACATGTAGGATGACCACCTTTTCAAAAGGGGAAGGAGGGACACATGCCCACCTTCCCCCAACCACCACTGCCAAACCAGAGCCAAGCAGAGTGGGGACAGATACAGACTGTTCGCTGCTGGCTTAGGGGTCTCCACCCTGCTGCCTTTCCCTTGGGAGCCCTGTGCTGGCCGTGTGCCTCCTGCCCACCCAGCAGCAGTAGAGAACACAACTCCATGTCACCACCTCCACTGCTGCTGAGTGGGCAAGGGATGTCTTGCCATGGAAGTGCAACAGGGCTGGGAGCCCTGAGCTTGCAGTGAGCAGCCCACATCCACGTCTGCCCTGCACACAAATCTGGGGGGCGTGTGTCCCCTGTGCCCTCTACCCCCTGGATAAGCCACCCATTGGTCCATTCCACTCCACACCCAGGCCCCACACACTGCCCTACCTGGACAGCGCACACAGCCTTTGCCCCACTCCCTCCATCACCATGGTGGGGAGCGGGGCTCGATCTGATCTTCCTCCTAGCCCTCCTCTACCTCCTGTCCCCCACAGACTTACCTGCAGGGAGCTGCTCTCAATGCTTCCTGGTTTTGGCATGCACATGTATGCAGTATCCCCTGCTTCCCACCTCCAGCAGCCCCTTGCAAAGCTGGAACACTGCTGCCTGTAAGGGGAAACCTGCCATTTCCCAATCCCTGCAGATGCTGGAAATCGAGGACAAAAGCTATCCCAGAGTCATGCAACCCAGGATGTGTGTCTATATATTGCAGGACTGTCCTGCCCAATAAGGGAAATGTGGTCACCCTAGCTACATCCTTGTATATCTTGAATTAGACATTGCCTATATGCTGTTTAGTGAATAAAAATAATGGAAGTTTTTCAGCTGGATAATTCTCGCCAATTTCCTGCTTGTTTCAAGAAATTATGCTATTTTTCCAGAAGTCAACATTGTTATTTTTGGGGAAATGGAAACCAGAATGAAATAGCTATGTTTGGTTTTGGGTGGTTGTTTGTTTTTGGGTTTGTTTGGGGT